CCACTTAAGGGACCCTCAATGAGCCCCATTTTATGCAGGACAGACATGTCTGAAAAGTCTTTTCCTCGTCTGTCGGAGTGCTTTATTAGACACGAGGATCTTTGCTGTTTAAAAAGCATAGTTGGTAGTATAACGAGAATAGTCTTTATATTGCAAGTCATAACTTCAGTCTGTTGGGCGAGTGTGGAGTGTTTTGGAGCAGAATGGACTTTGGCCTGCAGCCTCTCTTCAGCCTGGCAGCCCAGTAACCTGCTGAAGGTCCTCATGGGGCTTCCTTGATGATCCTGCCAGGAGGAGATCCCGAGGCCTGCAGTGAGTGAGGCAAAATTGGTTTTCATTAAAGCATCGTGTGACCGGCTTGCTGCCAGGGGCTCAAGGCTGGGAAAGCCCCCACAGAAGAATTCAGGGCTCCATTGGGGGACAGTAACAGAAACCTGCCTAAGAATATCTGGGACTTAAAAGCCAATCAATCTGTTAGAGTCGCTCACATAAAATACTTGCTCAAGGTACTGCTTTTATTTTGTTCAAAGAGGGTCGGCTTTGCTCTGAATATGGTGCTGAGTAGCTCTGCGCCTGCAGTAGGAAAGTAAAAGGACTTCCGGCTGCACCACCATGGGACACCCAGGTCACTGGCTGGTTTGCTGGTCTTCCAGTGCAAATTAGTTTCATTAGGAGCTAGAAACTTGGATCTCACATTGGCATCTCAGCCACCTAGATCCTCCAAAAGTCATCACTGCCCTTCCAGACCAACATTTCTCAAGGCCCACAGGGATTAATAGCTGTTACAGAATTAGAAGGTTCTGTGGTCAGATATACTTCGGAAAGGAAGGAGTAGATCAAATCAAACAGGTTTCATAATTTTCTTTCTGTATTTTCTCTTTTTTTTTTTTAAATTTCAATTCATTGTTTTTTTTGTTTCGGGGAACTTCTCAAGAACCTTTCATGTATTGCTTATATCAGGAATCTGTGGCGGTCATAGATTGTAACTTACTGGACTCTAGACCTGCTTCAGACGGGCCTTTCAGCCACACGTGTAGAAACCTACTGAAGAGCAGTGTATCTCAGACATAAGTGTGTGTATTGCAGTCACCTCAGGGGCTTTTTAAAGTATAAGTTATAGCCAGGTGTGGTGGCCCTTACTTGTATCCCAGGACTTTGGGACACGGAGGCAGGAGGACCACAAGTTTGAGCCTAACCTGAGCAATTTTGCAAGACCTTTTTTCAAAATATAACATTTTTTAAAGGGTTGGGGATGTAGCTCAGTGCAAAGGCCGTGTGTTCAGTCTTCAGTATCACATGAAAAAAAAAAAGTTACTGGGCCCCCCCACCAGAGTTTTCTCCATTCATAACAAATTCCAGGTGATGCTGATGGTCCAGGGACCACTCTTTGAGAACCACTGGGGTGGACTTAATCCCTTAACTCAGCAGAAAAGAAACTGGCCAAACCCAGTGAGGTTTACTAACAAATAGTGAATGTTAACTGCTGAACAGCTGGTAAGCAGTTCTCTTGTCTGTTTCTAAAGGCAAGTGTGATACCGGCCAGGTACAGGGCATATGCCCACTCTTGTGTCTTACCCTGTGCCGCTCACACCCCTCTGGAAGGCACAGTGCATCGAAGACAGTAGAGTTTTCCTGTCCTTGGCATCATTGTTGGGAGTATTTGAATCCTCTGGGCCTTAGTGTCCTCATCTATAAATGGAGGAGGATGGAAGGTGTTTGTGTGACTACTTTCTCTGGTGTTCCATTTTTTTATACCAGTCACTTATTTCTGGGTGTTTCTTTTCTGAGTGTCTTCTCCTCCTATCCAACCTGCTGCCACACTGAAGTGTTGGAGTCTGACAGGGTAATTGCTGCAGGGTGCTGCCTTCTAAAAGAGCTTTCCTGAGGAAGTAGGACTCTTGGGTAGAGCAGATTCACTGTGACACTGGTGCAGTGGAGAAGATTCCCAAGGTCTTCCACAGTGCTCACTCATAGTTCATAGTACATGTCAAGTACTTAGCATGGTCTCTGGTGCAGACCAAGTCAGAATCAATATTGGTTAGGTATATTATGTTAGAGGCTCTGATGGGGACTTTAGAACCCCCTAGAATTGTGTGCAGGTCTGTATGTCCGAGCACACGTGCATTCTTCTGCAGACGAGGTGAAACAGTGTCAAGATGCTGTCGTGGGAGGCCAGCCCTTACTGTTCCATGGTTGGAATGAGTGGATTTAAACCCTGCTGAACTGTTCATGAAGAGAAGCATTACTCCAGGAGACTGGGGCAAGCCGCAGGTTCCCTGACCCTGGGGGAGTCAAGAGTGACCTGGAGCCCCGAACCACAGCAGAACGAGCAGCCTGAGAGTAAGGGTGAATCCTCTCCTCACCCCACCCCCCATCCCCCAACCAGCAACTGAGCACAGAACAGCTGTGCAACCAGGCCAGCTGTCCACTGCGGCTGTGCCCCATGAACTGTGCCTCCCCGCCTCCCCTGCGGAAACAGGAACAGCGCTCTCAGCTTGGCAGCTACTGCCCTCTGCTGGAAGGTGGGCACAGCTGGGCCTTAGTACTAGAAGAGCGGGCCACCTCGGGCATCTCCGGCGTCCTCGAGAAGAGACTGCCCTCAGGCCCGTGCCCTGGGGTCTGAGCTGTGGGGCATAAGAGAGAGGAGTTTTGGGGTCCATCTTGTCCTGCACACCACTGTCCGTCCACTGTGAGAGTCACTGGCCTGCTTCCTCACTGGCATCCTCCACCTGAGCTCAGCTGAGCACAGTTTAAGCTGGACCCCACCACCCACCACCCGGGATCAGCCACCTTGTCACCCTGGAATCTCCTGAGGACAGGCATGTGTGCAGCTGAGTAATGCTAGGGCTGTGAGTGGGTGGGGAGGCCTCAGCCACAGAGGCAGTAAGGGCTTCCTCTCACAGTCACCCACTCTGCGGCTCTCTCTCAGCCCCTCCCAGGCCTTGGCGCCCCCACGCCACAGCAGGCAGCATAGCCGCTGTCACCGCACTCCACACTGACCCAGTGCACATGGCTCCAGCCCCTCTTACTGTGTGCAGGTCCCCAGCCCCCCACCTGCCCTAGGGCCCTGTCCCCTCAGCCCGTCCTTTACCACCTGTCTCAAGAAGGCAGCTCCAACTCTGCTCTTTGCTTAGTGAGCAAGTGGATTCAGATGCACACAACCATAAGCCATGGGTAGGTACGAATTTTTTCTTGTCTGTCTTCTTCAAGGCCCTTCTGCCTGCCCTTCTCCTCTCACCTCCGCTTCCCACCCCTCTACCCTATACCCCCCCCCTTCTCTTTTTTTCTTTGTCCTCCATAAACTTCTGAATTCCCAAAGTAATGGGTTTTTAGTCTCCCTGCTGGGAAGTTTCTGATATTCTAACCCCTTAGTTGCCACAGGTGCTGAGAACAACTGGCTCTTTCCGAGGAGCTTCTGAGCCTCTGTTGGCTCCTGAGTAGTACAGCTTTGCTGTTTCTCAGAACTGAGCCCTCCTCCTATTATTGTCTGGTTTCTGGTAAAAAAATCTCACACAATCCCCAGAGACCTAATCCACGGCAGACCACGGGACTCTGGAGTGGATTTCTGGTGTTAGAAGAGAAGCTCACGATGCAACCTGGGTCCTTTCAAGCCACATGTCCAAAGTCAGGACAGAGACCTCTACTCCAAGGGGGGCTGGGGATGGAGTCCCCAATGTGGTTCCCTCCCTGCACTGACAGCCAGGGAGGATATGGCACAGCCCCTCTGAGAAGGCCTGTGAACAGAAGGAAATTCCAAAGATTTCTGCATGGGGCCCAAGCATGATCAAGGACACTGTGGCTTCTCTACAGTGCCAGTTTCTAGGCATCCCAGCTTTGAGTTAGATTAAGTTTTATCCCAAGCCTGATGCCATAGTCCTCTGTGACCATGGGCATTCAGAATACCCAGATCCCAACTGATTTTTCCATGTGTAAAACAGAAGATGAGGGACAGGTTTTCCTCAGTCCCTCGGAGCCCCTAGGTTCTTCAGAGTTACCTCACGGGCCTTAGATGTCATTGTACCCCCATTTTAGCCAGAATGACTTCTGCTTCATCTCGGTGCTTTTAAGTCTGAATAAGGCTTTCACCTGTCCCACTGGGGTGGTACCACCTTCCATGGGCCCCTCCAGGTGTCTCCATTGAAATTTCTCCCTTCCCTTCCCTACTCCCAGCAGCACTTTGTGGCGGGTTAGAGAACTGGGGATGTGGTCCCTCAGTGTGAAAGGATGAGCAGCATTAAACAGGCACCTCTTGCCTGTATCCAAGGGCTTTTGGGAAAAACTGACATTGCTAATAGATGTTTGTTAAAAACAAAACACACTTGCCATTTTGTTTGTTTTTCACATTTTCCTTGGCGTAGGACCCAGAACATTCTGCCAAGTGGACATTCAGTCCATTTGTGTTGGAGTTGGCCTTCCTTTTTAGAAATCCAGTAGAAGAGATGGGGCTTCTGTCTTCCCCGGAAAGGCTTTTTGCCCACAGCTGCAGGCCCCCTCCCCAGAAGAATGAGTAGGGAGAATTGGGTAGCAGGTATCCCTCAGTGTCAAGAAGCCAGAGCCCTTTTTCTAATGAGGTACAGACTCTCTCAAGGAAGTTTTGGCCAAGCCACCATGGTTGAAGGGATCATAAACTGCTACTTGCTTATCAAAGCAGATAAATGATATCTACATCTGCCTAGAAAGCTATGAGGCTGCCCCTTCCCCGCCTAGGCATTTCCAGGTGAGTATGGAAAATGGAATTCACAGGGCCAGACCTGCCTCATGATGGCTGTTAACAGAAAAGAACAGTGGTGCTGCGGGGCTGGCAGAACCTCAGGCCCCTCATGAAGTGGATGCTGCCCTGAGCTCCCTGTGCATCCATAGGTGTGTGAAAGATCTCTCAGGATGCCACTCTGACACTGCCACACACAGGCCAGTGTGATAGGCACCGTCTTGGAGCAGTGAGGAGCTCTGTACAGGAGAGCATGCAGTAGCTCACAGCATCTGCCCATGTGTCTTTTCAGATGCGCTGGCTCCCTCCCTCCGAGGCTACTTCTCAGGGCTGGAAGTCCCGTCAGTTCTGCTGAATGCTGTGTAAGTACCTGGTTCCCTGAGGAACATGTAAAGCACCTAGCAGTACACAGTGGGCACGTCACACCCACACCTTCAGTGCTAACTCTTAACCCTGACCCTTCTGCGCTCCCTTTGCTTGTCCGTCTGAGAAGAGCTCTCAGGTGGCCACACATCTTAACTAGGAGAAAGTTTCTGCCTAGGATGGGGGAGAAGTGAGGTATGGGTGCCCTGCTGAGTCCAATTCAGAAATGATATTCTTGTCTGACCTGCTTCATAGATGAGCAGTCAGTGTGACTTTCTGTAGGAAAGTGACAGAAAATTCCATTAAATAATTGTGCTCCCCGCATTAAGCAGAAACCTCCTTCAAATTGCAGAGCTACGTCATTCACTAAAACAACTTAGTTTTTGTATGGAAAGTATTGTGCTGTTGCCAGTAGGTTTTCTTTAAGATTTTTTTTATCTTGAGGGAAACAATATCCTAAATTGGCATTTGTGCCATTTGGGGCCTAACTTCGCTTTAAACAACTATTAAATGATTTTTTCCTATAAATGTAGAATTAGTGCAAAAATCCAAACACCTCCTGTAATTCAATATGTTGACTGGCACCACTGTTCCGAATCATAATCGGGTGTGTGGATTTGAAGGGGTCTGCCTAAAGTGAAGTCACTTTAGTGCTACAGTCCCATAATCAGGCTCCTCTTGGGCTACATCACCCTTCATGGAACAGAAAGAAAAATGCTTCAGGAAAGGACCAGACCCATATCCATCCTGTGAGGTAGAAACACTAGAAAGTACAGCAAACAGTCGTGTTCGTGTACCAACTACTAACAACAGGCAGGGGCCTTTTCTTGGAGAGCATAATGGTTCCGAATAAAACTAATACTTACTTCTTCAACTGTTATTGATGCTGAATCCCTGGATAGGTTTGATGCTGAGTCCCTGGTTAGGTCACACGAGGCCTTTGGGACTCCTGAAGAAGTACAGGAAGCCATACTTGAGAGCGCTTCTGGGAAAGATGGCAGGAATGGTGGATGCTGGAGCTGGGCTTGTGTAGTCCGGGGCCCTCTTAGAAAGGAAGAGGACACTGAATAGGACTTTTATTTTTTTAAGTACTGAGGATTGAACCCAGGGTTTTTGCATTAAGCTAAATCTCCAGCCCTTTTTATTTTGAGACAGACTCGCTAAGTTGGTAAGTTGTCCAGGCTTTTTAGAGTCCTGGGGTTTATTTTCCACCGGCAAGTTGCCTTTGAGACCTGAAGTCTAAATTGGTTGTTGAACAGGTCACCACCTCCAGATTGGCTCCCACCCTGCATTTGGGTTGCCTTTGCTCTCAAAGGAAGGGCCCTGGCCCAGCAGGAACAAAGCAGGTAAGACCAGAGGTACAAGGGAGAGCTAAGTGGCTTCTTTCAGGAGTGGCAGGGACTTTATGGACAATGTGGCAGTCTCAGTGATGGAGCAATTGGCAGTGGATGGTGGCATGGGGCTTGTGGAAGGGCTGTGAGTGTTTGTAAGCATTTACATTGGCCAAAAGGAAGGCAGACATCATAAAGTAGTTGCATGGGTTCCAGTCTGAAAGCTCCTGGGCTCCATTTACATCAGCTTGTCTGATTTTTTTCCGAATTATTTTTCTCCACAGACTTATCAGGGCACCAATCAGCCAGAGACCTAAAGATAGTAACAGCTACTAAAGCAGAATTAGCAATTGCTCCACTATAGACTTATAGCTTAAAAGAACCCTGTAAGATCTGGATCAAAATATGTAATGTCTTCTGGAGATGAGTCATTTGTCCTGAGCTGAACACAGGCCCTGGGCCAGACTCCTTCCTGGTCTGGAGGAAGTGGAAGAGGGGATGTGGTCAGGAAGGGGTATGGACAGTGGTGCTCACTGCTTCTGCAGTCCAAGGTAGACCAGCTTGCTGTGCCTCCTTCTCATCTCTTGGATCAAGTCCTTTCCAAGATGGCTAATAATCCAAGCTCTGTAATATTAGGGAAATGTAAATGAGAATCAGAAATAGTGGTGCTGATAAGCTAATGTAAACATTTTAGGCCAAGTCCAGTCTGTCAGAAAGACCCAATGAAGGGAGGTGCTCCTGTGGCACCCCTGGCCCTGGTGCCTGCCTCTCATTTCACTGAAGGGGGCTTTCTTCCCCAACTTGGTTTGCTCTTCGTGGAGAGATGGTACCAGAACAGAAGGTGGAGGCGGGAGTGAGGTCTGGTATTGGACATAACAGCCTCGATCAAGGCTGGCTGTCATCTCTGATGAGATGGAGTCTCTGATGCCATCCTTCAGACCCTGAGCAGCCCGGGGCCTGCTCTCTCAGAGGCCCTGTGGGATTTTTAATTTATGTGCTTTGACTTACTGCTAAAGAGAAGTCAGTGAGCGGACTAGAAATGAAAGCTAAAGTTGTTCTTTATTGTTTAAACATGGGTTGTGCCTGCTGTGTGTTAGAAAAAAATGTGTGAAAACCCAGGCCTGTGCACTAAGGGGCTGAAGTTCTAATGGAAGAGAATTAGGAACTTACTACATGAGAGACAGAAAAGTGACTGCTCAGGGTGCTAAAGATCTGCCTGCTGGGAGGGGAGGTAGAAAGCAGGATGCACACATGCTTTGTTGTTGGTGGCCTGCGGTACATGTCAGACTCTCAGGAGAGGGGCTAGCAGGGCTGGGGGTTCCAGTGTGACGTTTTCTTGGCATCTCACCTGACACGTGCTGTGGAACCTGGCCACGTGCTGTTCTCACTAGGGTTTTGGTAATGACCCCGCCAGGTAGCAGAGAATCCCAGAATACACAGAGATGACTGGGAATTACCAATTTCCCACATCTAATGAGAATGGGGAGCATCAGCACTTTGTCACTCCTTATGGATAATGAGAGTCACACAGCTTTCCATGTTCGATATCCAAATACAGTTCAATACTTTTTGAAAGGGAAGGAGTTAGGGTGGGTGTGGGAGGGTATTCGTAAGAACACATGAGAGAGATCGCTTCTCGGCCTTTTGGCTAAGATCAAGTGTAGTAAGAACACATGAGATTTCCTTGGCCTGAGATCAAGACCGTAGCATAGAAATTATATGCATATGTCATTTACAGCCTCACCAAATTAGAGAAGGGACTGGCCAGAGATAACACAGCTGGAGTTTGAGGCAGTTTATTCCTTAGAATTTGTTTTGGGAGGAACAGCCTTGCTTGTCTTTGGCTGTGAGCACAAACACCTTGAGCACAGAATTGTCCTGCCCCAGGGACTGCATGTGGAAATGCTTTACAATGAGGGAAAGGCACTGCTGCTTCATACTGGCCTGGAGAGCTGCTGTGGTCCCTGCCCTCACCCCTACACTCTGTCAGGGGGTTGTGTTCTTACACTGCAGTGTGCCCAGAAACCAGGGCAGTTCTTGTGACTGACTTGCCATTCCATTCCCCTTCTATTAATCAAGGTCTCCATGTCACACTTGAAGTCAAAACATCATAAATCCTCAGAACGGCTATAGTGTAATGAGGAGGAGGGAGGTAATAAAATAATAGATACAATGGTTCTCATGGTACTGAGTGTGTGGAAAAAGGGAAGCCCGTAAGAGACTAAGCAGTGGAGGCAGGACACACACTTCTGTTCTGTCCAGAGGCCGAGGGAGCAGGGTCAGCCTGAGCACGCAGCACTTGAACAGAGGCCCGACACTTTCCAGACTGAGGGGCTGCTTTTGCAGAACAGGCCGTGCCTAAGTTTGGAGACTAATCGAACTTCTCTCATCTGCGCTAAGTGAAAGTAGCTAGGCTTGGAATGCAGCTGGCTCAATGCAGGGAGGCCTCCAAGGGTCCCCCATCCCAGGAGGGGACTCGCCAATGTGGCCACCAGGCCGTCGCTGGCCGGACCTGCTCAAGGAGCAGCTGATAGATTGTCCACTCCCAGGCCCTTAGGGCAGCATGTGCTCAGAAGCTGCAACCCACCTGTTCTCCCTCTTCTGGAGACTGGCTGTTCCCTTCTGGAAGTTCAAAGAGGGTGGCCATGTGTGAGACCAGGACATTGAGTCTCAGGGCTCCGTGACTCATGTCAGGGCAAAGCTCAGGAGCCTCTGCCCCAACCCTGCAGTTCTAGAAACTCGTGCTTGTTACTCAGATCTTCACAAGGTCTGTACCCAGCACATTTGCGCCTCCCTTTGTAGTTGTCATCTCCTCTGGGTGTCAGTGGAAGGGTCTGGCTTGAATCAGCTCACTGCCCCCCAGGGGAGCCCAGCCCCAGCACACACAGCTGTCACTCCTGTAGTATTGGAGCAAAGCTTACTAATAAAACCCCGTGCTTCTGAGCAGGGAAGTGAGAGTTAGGTGGTCATATTCCTAGCTTAAACCCGAAGGCCAGGAGGAATCTGGCTGTCCATGTGGCTTCTTCAGCAGGAGACCTCCCGGAAATGCTGCCTGGGTCTGGCAGCCCTGGGAGGGGCCTATGCCCACTGCCGCTGAGTGCCTCCCTAGTGCGCCGTGGGAAGTCTGGCAACAGCTGGGAGAAATTGAGTGAGTGGATTGCGAGGATGTGTGTGTATTTTCCTCTCCTCAAATAACACAACTTCGGCTATGTGTGTGGTGCACGCAGGAGACTGGGGCAGAAGCATCACTGGGAGTTTGAGGCCAGCCTGGTCTACATAGCAAGACCATGTATCCATAAAAACAGTACTTTTACTTGGAAAGCAGAACTGTCTACTCATCTTTTAATATCTTTGTAGTGAAATTTTGGGGAAAACTTTTTTTCCCCTTAATTCTGAGAAGATAGATGTCCTAGGAAGGCATTGTTTCCTTCGGGCTCAGTCTTATTCCAGAGGTGGAGGGTTGGGCAGCCTTGGTGCCAGCTGAGGAGCTCAGGGAGGTGGTGGCAGAGCCTTACTCCCTTCTGTGGAGGAAGCCCTGCATGGAAGCAGCGCCCTCACTGACTGCAAGACCAAAAGAGCACTGAGCTGGATGAAAATCTGAAAAATGTGCATAGAGAATAGGGCCATTGGTATCCACATGCATAGAGTTGGACTTCATGCCTTGGCAGCAGGAATTTTATTATGGAAGGCATAAAAGGGCCTCAGGAGGAGTATTAAAAGTGTACCATCTGCCAGTCTATGTACCTTCATAGTTCAAAATGCTCAGACCTTAGGGTAGTCATGGTGAGCCAAGTCTTGAGTTTTTTCTAAACTAAAACCTCAGTATTCAGGTTTAATTGGTGTTGGCACTTTGTGATAATAGGTGGGTTTTGGGTTACAGTTTGGGCATTTGGACTCTAAAAGATTCGTCATCACTGCTCTAGTGTTTTAACTTTTCATTTTCCAGAAGATGTTTAGAGTAAGACTTTAAGTCATTGGCGCATTTGACGGCACACGGTTCTACTGTGGCCTTGGGCTGTCCAAGTCTATTGTGGTCTGAGGCAGCTCTCAGAGCTGGTGATGAGTCTGAGTCTTCCGTATTGGGGCCTCAGGTCCTACCTCTTTGCTTGGTGGGGCTTTGGGGTGGCACTCAGGGTCTAGACACAGTCCCTGGTATCTGACCATGTGACCACAGTGCAGAATCCCCATGGGCTGGGTCCAGTGGCCTCCAGAGTTTTTGCAGCTCTGCCCTCAGTGAAGGAGACAGTGTGCACACTTCTCAGAATGCCCTTCCACTGTGGCCCAAGAGCTACCTCTTCTCTGCTTAGTCCCAAGGTCCCCTTCCTACTGCAAGTTTCTCCTTGCCACTCTTGTAAGGTGGTTCTGAAGTGCAGCTTGTCCTCAGCTCAGCGTCAGGGGCCTTAGGTCCTTTTGTCTTGGGCTCTTTTAGCTCCTTGTCCTCCAGACTGGTGGGTCATCAAGGCTCAGGGCCCCCGAGCAAGAGGCCCACACAGGAGGGGGTTGCAGTGCACAGGTAACAGTTAATCTCTGTCTGTCCAGGTCCCAGGTGTGTGATGGCGGCTGCAATCTGTCTTGTGGGTATTAATGCGCTCTTCACTGGTGGCGACTGTTCTCCAGCTGTTCTGCAAAACTGGAGCGTGCTGGTGAGTTCCAAGGGCAGGTGTCAACCAGTGTGTTAAAGATGGGCACCAGTGTCTCCCAGGAGCTTCAACCTCTGGGAGGTGCCCACAGTGGGTGCTCACGTGCCCAGGTGGTTCTGGTGGGTGGTCTACATTGCCCCTCCTGCACAGCCCACTGAGGGAAGGCCATCTAGGGTGGCCGTCTTAGGCAAGGCTGGCAGCATCCCGATCTAGTTATACTGAGTATAGCCCTTTCTTGAGTGGAACATTTTTATGAATATTTTTTGGAATAGGGTCATTATTCCTGGGTACGACTGTATTCTATAGGATTCTGAAAGAATTCCTCTAGAGTGCTGGGTTTTGTCAGTAGCGATGCTAGTGAGTTTTCACTTGGTGCCAGCGTCACTCCACAGTAGGAGTCTTATAGTGCCCATTCCCAGAGGTGACCTGCCTGCCAGGCACCAGGGGAAGGGCTTCCAGGTGTCTCTGGAAATGCTTGGCTTAGGAAAGCAGGAATTCCAGGGGCCAGCAGGCAGCAGTTTATGTCTCAGCCCAAATAAGGTGGCAAATTTTGTTCCTGTGAAGGGCCTATAAAAATTTGAAGATGAGTCAGAAGGAGGGCAAAATTCCTGCTAAGGACAGAAGACCAGGCAGTGCTGACCAAGGAGGCCATCAGCACATTTCGGGGCGTAAGTAAATGATGCTCAGAACCCGTATCTGTCAGGATTCATCCAGAAACACGCGCATCCAGTGTGCTGCACTTTCACCTGGGTAGCTCTCTAGTTGGAAGCGCACAGCCTACACTTCAGGGTCTTCCCCAGTGGCATCTACTAACACAGGTTTACTCCAAACAGGCAGCACTGTCATATCATGTAGAGCCGCAGGTATTTATCCCATTAGTTCCATGGCCGCCTAATTACATGTTTGTTTGTCATGGTTCTTAATACTCATAATAGTCACCCTGGTATTAAACTTTTTAAAAGAGACTTGGTTTTGTTTTTTTCCCTCCTTTGGGGAAACTCAAAGACCAATTAAAAGCTACTCTTGCAATTCTTGAAAGCAGATTAGACATGACTTTTTAAATGTAGTCAAGCAACCAAAATATTAATCATTAGAGACACATGTACACGAGCCCAGTCAAAGCAGCAGCGGGTGGTGGTTTCTTGGACAGACACCAGAAAGGCCTAGTGATGAGGCAGAAGGGGCGGCTTCGGATTTGGGGGTGATGTTCCAGGAGTGCCTGAGGAGGGTGTTTCGGCACTGACAGTGCCAGCCATGGTGATGACCAGACCGAGTTTGGAGGAGGCTGTTCCCAGATGACACTGCTTCCATAGGCCAGAGATGGGCCTGGCTGGGCAGGGAGGCCTGCATCAAGCCCTGGTGCTGAGACTTCTGTGGCTAAGGGGCGCTGGAGCCGTGCGCAGCCAGGGCACCTTGTTAGTGTGAGCTGGAGAGGGTGTCTGGAGACTGATATCTTTGGAGTGGGATGGAATTACTCAACTATAGAAAACTTTCCCTAGACACCCTATAGACTATGAACTTTGAACATTTAAAAATATTTTAATTGGGCCGGGGATTTAGCTCAGTGGTTCCGCTGCCTGTCTTGCAAGCGCAAGGACCCAAGTTCAATCCCCAGTACCAAAAAAAAAAAATTTTAATTATGAATTATCAGTACTTGATTTTTTAAAAATCAAGCTGATAGGTGTAAAAACTAAACTACTCATTAGTTACAAACACTGGTCATATGATCTCCCATATTGGATAGAGGGGAATACTTATCTGACCTTTGGTAAAAATGAGTGAATGTTTGATGGTTAAACTCTTGGGGGAAAAATCACTGGTAAATAGTTCAAGCAGAGAAGCAAGGAGGAAAGCAGTCTCCTCATGCTGGGAGAAGCAGCTCACAGGGCATCTGGACTTCTAAACCACTGGAAGTTGAACAGGGGCAGAGCAGCCACCCCCAGGCCTTGCCAGGTGTCCCTTCCATTTCATAGGCGCCTTGTTCCCACACCCGTCAGTAACTGTTCCCAGGTACTGAGTGCCACTCAATCATCTTTACATCAAAGATGAAATGTTTTAGAATTTTGTATCAGGGAGACATCCTGGTGTGTCTTCAGACTGGGGCAGTTGCAACCTGAGACAAGGAGATTGTATTTATACATGTCCTTATGTCCCGTAGTGACACGCAACGTGGGGAAAGGCTCTGAAAGTCTGTGCCACCTCAGCCTGACCCTCTCTCACCCGCCCTGGTACTTCATGTTCCCGGATGTCTTTGGATTCTGTTAAAAATGTCCTTGTAATACATTCCAAGGTTTGAACTCCGTTCCTAGCAAAACCTCTTCCTTGTTTACAGGGACTGAAATAGTCACATTTTGACCTTCTGTTCTGTCTGGGAACACTGATGGCAATGTGGATACATTCTTTTCCCGTGTGACAATTCCATCTATACAGCACAGTTTCTGGAAAGCTAGAAACTATAGAATCATGTCCTACCTTCTCTCCTCCCTTCAGAGCTCCCACTTGTAATCAGCTGAGATTAAACAGACCTTTACACCTGTCTTCCTGCACAGGCAGAGAAAGGAATGGAGCATCATAAAGTTGGGGTGGGTGCCTTCTCCCCCAGTGAAAGCAGCTTCTGCAGCAGACCCCCCACCAGGGCCGGAGCCACCCAGGAGAGGTTCGAGGAGCTCAGGGTGCTGTGGGGCTGGTGCAGAACCCAGGATGGCCCCTCCCCAACCCGGGCACAGATCCCTGGCTCCAGCCCAGAGCATTATCAAGACAAAGGGCCCAGTCACAGTGCCACATCCCATGGGTGGCCCATCTCTCCCATTTCACCTGCCCGGGACCCAAGTGTCTTGAGTGAAGGGATTGTGCTATCCTTATGATATGGCTCGGACTGAGCCAGGAGAGTGTCTTAGGAAAATAATCCAAGGAGTTCAAAGAGGAACCCCTGCAAGGATCAGGAGAGGAGAGTTTTAAGGATAGATTTCTTGTGTGCTGGGGGAGCAGGTTACACAAAGTAAATAGCCTGTGAGGGAGCTCTTGGGGGCCTGGAAGGATGGTTGAGTTGGGGATCTGGGACTTGGGGATCCACTGGAGAGAATGGGGTAGGGGGGTTTAATCATTATCACCTTGTGTCTAGTTCAAATGGTTGAAGATTCAGAGTTGAAAGGGCAAACCCAGGTGGTGGTGGTGGTGTCAAGAGGGAGCAGCAGCAGGCCTGTGTGCAGAGACAGACTCTCAGGGCCAGAAGGCAAGAAGGTGATGAGTGTGGGTTTCAGCAGAAATGTCAGGAGGAACCTGAGAGGAACAGGGAAAGCGGTGTAATGCCTAGGAATTAGCTGTGGATTCAGAGAGGGGGCAGGGCTAGCACTGTGCCTTTGCCCAAAGACTGTTGAGCGCTCCAGAATTGGAAGACTGGTCAGGTGCCTGCCAGACATAGCCGGGATTCCTCCACCTAAATCAGAAGGCCCAGCAGATGGGAAGGAGAGCAAACATGGCCAATCTCTCTGACTTCCCATTCAGTCCTTTCTTGTGGTCTGTGAGAGCAGCATGGCAACTCTGCTTGCAGGTTTTGGTCTTGATGTTGTGTCACCACATCCAGGCCAGGGACCGCCAAATGCCAGCTCTGTGAATCGTTCCCGAAGTAGAGACCACTTGTTCAGAAAGGGTTTCCTCACTTCCACACAGACAGCTTGTGCCCCTGGCTTGTGATCAAGTTTAGAGTAAGGTGGAACTTGGTGGAAGAAGGAAGTTGGCCTTATATCCAGTCTCTGAAGCCAGTTTCACTCCACTGTGACATATTCTCCATAGGAAGTGGGTGGAGGACTGGGTGCCTCTCCCACTGTAAGAATCCTGAAAACCAGTATCCTCAAGGGAAGGCCCTGGGCAGATAAAGGGCAGGAGGAAGTGAGGCAGACCAAGGGAACTCAGTGGCTGTAGACAGATGTCTTGCCCCGGGGCACTCTCCCCTTGCCTACCCAGGCCAAGCGACACAGCCAGACTGTAGTCTCCACCCACTTTAGATTGAAACCAGAGTGAAGTGGAAAACACAGGTACTTTCTAAAGGGGTCCTGCTGCTGGCTCTTTTTACTATCACAGGATATGTGGCTAGGACCAGAGTTGGGTTGTGAAGAAGCCCTGCCCACTCTGACTTCATTACACAGTATGTGCTAAGTGCAGATGGGTCCCCACCCTGTGCTGGGCAGAAGGGGGAGGTGAAGGAAGCAGAAAATAAGATTTTCCTGAAAGAGTTTACCTCCTTGTCCATCTGTTCTCTCCTCATAGGTCCTTCTGAATCAGAGAATTCTGCTGAAAAGGAAAGGGAGAAAATGGAAGTGGGTGGGGCTGGGTCCACCAAGGAAGAGTTGGGGGCATTTCAAAAGGGCTTTCTAGTTTGGCCTTTCTCTATAGGAAGCAATTAAATTGATGTGCTAAGATTAATTGTAACAACCTGGAGGCATAAGTTTTAGCATAACATCACAGGTAAGGTTCTGGGTGTCCAAATTTCCCCTCCAGAAAGCTCCGCCTGGGAGATTTCCATGATCCATGATGACTATAATGGCCCTTAAAGCTCACAAGCCATTACTGTTTCTATCCATTTGTACTGTCGAGTAAAATTTGAGGTCTAGACACAGCCCGCACTGCACAGATGAGGTTTGTATAGGTGTGTTTACAAGATTGTTCATTAGCCATGTTTGAGTGTTCACCTAAATATTTCTCTTGACTTCAGATTTACTCAAATAACTCTTGTCTTAGAGTAGCTATGTGGATTGTTATCAATAATGTTTCATCACAGCCTTTTCCCTGCACATAAGCAATCATTTCCCTGTAGGGATTTGCAGCGTATGCCAATTTGCTTCTGGGTACACCTTTTCTGTAACCACATATGTGAGTCTACACTTTGGTGAAAAGAAAGGAGCTGGGAGTTAAGAGAAAGGGAAAGTAAAATGAATGACAGAATAATAGGAGAGGCTTTAAATGTATTGTTGATGTAAATTAGGTAAGCTCAAACTTAACAGAGATGTGTTTAAAAAATCCAGGCTCAGTGTTAGAGCCCCTGCCAGCACGTGGAAGGTCCTGGGTTAAATTCTCCATACTGCAAAAAAAAAAAAAGGGGGGGGGAGAAAAACAGTTGGGACCAATCACAGATAACTGGGCATCAAAGGACTTTAATGACTTAAAGGCCCCTTTTTCTGTCATCAAGCAAACATAAATGACTATTTCTTTGCAACTTCAGAAAAGTCTGTCACATAAGAGAGAGAAATTAAATACTTGCTACTCATGTATGTCTTTAAGGCGAGACGCTTGGTGCTCTTCTGCTAGTCATCTTTTTGGAGGGGGGAGACAGTAAATGTTTACTGATCCACACACAGGGAATCACTGGTGCATTTTCCCTGGTGGTGGGAGAAAGTACTACATGAGGTTTAGAGATCTATTCTCCCAACGTGTTTTCTTTGTGTTTCAGGATTGAAAAAAAACCTTGCCCAGCTTTGATCCCTTCAAGACTTTGCCACAGCCTCTATCACACATCTGTTTTTCTCGAAGAAAAAATATAATAAAAATGTTTTACTCATTTACACTGTATAATTGTAAGAAATAGTGTGTTATTTGTGAATGCATGATCTGACATTCATTTCTATACATTTAGAGATATTTTCAAGCAAAACATAGAAATCAACAATAAAACCAAGAAAGTGAGTATTTTTATACCAAACATTTTAAGTATGATGGGATGATTCTTAACACTGGGTTGGACCACATTTGTGCTTGACTTTTGAATGCTTGTAATTATATCTATTTTTTCTGTCTAAAATAAGCTGCATGTTTGAGGCATGTTTCTAAATAGTATCAACTTCAAGAACAGTATTGTGAATGTATTGAATCTGTTTGCCTGGTCTGAGTCCAGAGTCCATATGTGATGTGGTAGAGGTAGAACTGTTCTCCCCAGTCCTGGATGTGCAATCCCAGATCCCATAGGATGTCCCTGCAAGACAATCCAGGCCTCCAGGAGCTTCTGCCTATTGGTGTACTCACAGCTGGGCAAAGAACTCTTTGGTCACAGTTCCTGCCCAGAAAGTGCCCTTAGAAAAAGCCCCTGGTACGTCCAGCTGTGCCTATGCAAACTGTGTGCCAAAGTGTTTTTGGTTCTGCAGTCTTATGTTCATCTTCTGGCAGCATTCACCTGTGTCACACCCCGATGCATCACTCGCTTTCCATAAGCTGTCCTCACCCTCGAAGGTGGAACTGCAGAGTCCGTTCCAGGGTGAGAAGACCTTGGCTTGGAGCCAGCCTTCCCTTGGGAGAAGTTGGCTTCACCCAGCCCACTTGGCTGCAGTGGGCAGCACACATCTCGCAAGTGATTTGGCAAACCATTGGTCAAGCCATGTTTAATGTTCCAAAGTTTTGGCAACACCATGCTAGAGAGACATCGGTCACATGCTCTTGAATCTGGTGTGCTCACTGTGAGACTGCCTTCGGCACAGGCACAGGAGGACCTGATGATGTAACCAGAGGCCATGTGCAATGAATATTGTTCTTCTTCAAGATTTTGTCAAAGCCAGTCGGTCTTGTTTTGCATTGACACATTTCCAGAGTCTGACAACCTAGCCTCTTGCCCTCCCCTATGTAAGAGCCATGTGTAAAATTAAATGACCTAAGAATTCTCAATGGCTGATATAGCTAGATGTGATCACAGTCTTTATTGATATGCTCACATGTTGAAAAATGTTTTAATGATTACATGATGGGTTTGGGGTTTTATTATTTTTCATTAGAAATAATAAGTTTTTAAAGGTGATCCTAAAAAAAAAAAAAAGGCCAGGAGTGAGGAACTCTTACCATAAATACGAGAAAAGGGGGGCAGGCATCAGGTTGGGGACTTCTCATTCAAGGACCTGCTTATGCCCTCAGTTCTGCTTGGCTCTTGGAGAGACTCCTGAACTTGATTCTAAGGAAAACAGAGCCACTTTGTGGTCCATTATGCTTTTATAAACTGTTTAAAGGTACTTTTCTATTGTCATTTTTAAAAAATAAAAGTGTAATCCAGCTGTCACACCACTGTCTGGCAAATTCATTTTTGTACAATCAAACCATGTGTCCACAGTGGACCGAAGACCAGAGCTTTCTTTCCATTTTTAGGTTTTGGCAGAGCTTAGCACTAGTTATTGAGCCCCAAGAGATTAAAAGAGGAAACAGGGTAGGAATGGGAAGGCCAGGCTCATGTACACTACACCGGTTAGTCACTAAGGGTCTCAAGGTAGATCCATACTCCTTTCTGAGGGGTCTTTTACTGAACTGATTATGATCCAGGCACCTTACCCTACAAGGCTTGAGCTCAAGATTAGTCCAGTTCTATGAAAATGTGACACCTTTCTCGTGAGTTAGCCAAAACAAGAGTTTTATATACAAATACTATTCATTCCAAGTTATTGCAACAACCACTGGTGACCCTTAGTCTTGAGCATGCACTTGTATTTTTCAGTTCTGTGATGAGCATCTCACTTCCTTTTTCCAGAGATACCCACCAAACACAAGTAACAGTCACTCCCTTCTAATCCCGCAGAGCTGCTGAATAACTGGAGAAAACCAATCTGCAACCTTCCACAGCCACCCCAGGCTTGGAGGTCCACACCCAGCACTGATCTCTGGGGCAGACTTGGTCATGTGGCTTTGCCCTCAGCCCACCTGTAAGCTTCCAAATCAGAAGCACTGGAGGTTGCCTGTACACAGCCCAGGAACTGAGGGTAGCTGGCCCTTAAGATGTATCCATGCCTTGCACCACTCTCACCCCAGTCAGTCACAGCTGAGCAGTCATTTCTGTGTGATTTTTCATGAGGGACCTTGTGCTAATAATAGTCATGTGCAAATCAGTCACTGGATGGTATTTACCAGTACAAACTCTAGACACATTCCTACTGACCAAACACTGCAGCACTAACTTCATTACAGTTTTAGAGATTCTTTTCTGTCACTCTAATGAGCAGGAATGAATGCAGTGCCTTGGAATCAGGGACTCGGGATAGAAAAAAGCAGGTCTTTTTGTCCTTGTTCCTACTAACTTGTAATTATTACTGTCCTGTCTCAAACCCCACCACGCTACAGCATCCTGAGCAGTGTGGCATAAGGAACATTCCTAAGAACGATGGCAACACACGGGTAGGGTGACAATGCCTATAATCCCAGCACTCTGGGAGGCTGGAGTGGGAGGATCACAAGTTCAAACCCAGCCTCAGCAACTTAGCAATAATAAAAATTAAAATGGGCTGGGGGGTGTGGCTCAGTGTGAAGGTCCTGGGTTCAATCCCCAGTACCACCACCACACACACACACACATACACACAGATGGTGCCATAGCCACCATCCTTTCTATATCGCTATAAACAGGAATTCTTGGTGTCCATGTCAAGGTAACGAATCAAGAACTTTGGGCAAGACATACTCCATGCAAAGAATATGAACAGATTTCCTGTATTCCACATCACTGCCACAGTCAACTGTCTCTTGAAAAGGGTGCTCTTCCCTCAGTTTATAAAGCATCACCATACAGTTGGCACTCTTACACTTTTAAAATAATCATGCCCTCATAACATAAAACAATTTTACATCCTTAGCCAAAGAATGTTTATTACTAGTGACATACTCTTTGAAATACTGGTCCTCAAGATGCCTCTTAATAAAGTGAATGATTGTGAATGCTCAACAATTTGATTAGGGTCCCAAATTAGAAAATTTTTAAAGGTTTCTAACATCACAATTGGTACATTACTGATACTGTTAACTCTCCCCCTAAACTAGCCTTGGCTTTTACATCCCAAGTTAAACTTATCCCAAAAGAAACCACTGTTCTACGAACTCTACCCTCCATTTCTCCTTTGTGCAGCTTGCCAGTGACACAAATTCTCTTTGGGGTGTTGAGATCAGACTTACATCCTGCTCTATGGATGTGCTTTCTCACAAACCACGGCATAATCTGCCCATAAGGAAAAACACCGAAACCCTTTGTTCTCCATTGTTGGCCCTTAGGGGAGGTCTGCCAGGGAAGATAAAATTCGGTCCTTTTCTTCCAGTTGGGAAACTCATTCTTTGACTGCTCATTAATACCAAGTTAGAAACCTGATTAGGCTTAAATTCAACTGGGTTTTCACCAGGTTCTTGAAACTGCTTGTCACAGGAATGTGCAGCCCCACCTCCAAACCAGCAGAGCTGGACTAATACCATAGCTCCAAACCAAAGCAAGGCCCATGACAGAGTAACCCTCTCAAATCTGCTGAAGAGTGACCAACCAACCACGTTACTTCTCCCATCCAAGTCCTATCCCACCCAACTTAGTTCAGGCATGTTCCAGGTAGTAAGGCCATAGGCCAACCCATATTTCTAATGGAAATCCTTCTATGAAGGAAAATGTACTTTAATCCTTTGTATCTAGAAGATGACCAACAGCACAATGCCAACAGCCAAAGGTCTCTTCCAGTTCTGTTTCTAAAGTGTGCCTCCCCCAACATTCAAGCCAGGAACCGTGTTCTAAGATTAGTCCCTGGGGCTCTCCCATCCCTCTGACTCCCACAGAACACCTCATCTGCTAGGGTGGCTCCACAGCGTGCACACACAAACGAGGAACCGTCCTACAGGAAGCTCTGGGGACAAGGTAGGCCCCCGCTGTTCCAGGCACAGCATCCCAGGGTTGCAGAAGGCACAATGCTGGTCCTGGCTCGATAACATTCTATGAAATGTTAGAAAAATCCCAAGTTTTCCTTTAAATGAATCATCTGAAAAGTAAAAAGAGTAGCTGCTAGTACGTTAAAAAAGAAATCCAGGGCTGTGCATGTGATGTCCGTTCCTATGAGCCATGGGCTGGAAGTAAGGGGAAGTTCCTGAACTGCCCCATTTCTAACACTGCTCAACGGGTATCAAGTGCTCCCTGTCCCCAGGGTCCCATCATCTTTTGGCCACACTTAAAGGCTGTGACAGCAGCAAGCAAATGTCCTTTTACAAGTTGTCTACATTCAACATTTCTCTTAGCTATCCCCTGAAAGCCTGGGTGACTGATGAATTATAGATCAAATGCACTGCAAACTCTCTGGGCCTATTAACTCACCCAGCCATGCCCATTCCCATTTACTTTTAAATAGGAGCAGATCCAGCAGAAGTGGGTAGAAGTGAGAATGTAACTTTAACTTGGAATTTCTGCTGGATGTTTTTAAGACACCCAGAAAACCCACTAAGACTTGTTTCTTTGTATTGTGATCATCAGGCACAAAGAGGCTGCTATGGGATTGTCCGAAAAGCCTATCCCTCCCTACACATCACCCAGTGAACAGTCCCATTACCTTATCACGGAGGAGTTGCTCTTCCATGATGTAGGCAAAGGGGAACAACAAAAAAAGGTGAAGAAAAGAAAATGCAAGTAAACCCAATTTATAATTTTTGATTTAACAAGACATTTCATTTCTCTAGAATCAGAAAGTCATGGTCTGTTACCATCTCAAACCAGGATAGTTATGTTGCTGACCAGAACGTCAGCTTTACTTCGGCTCAGACCTCACATCTAAGCTTCCTCATTTCTGAAGTCAATTTTAGACACAGTAACTGAAGTCGGTCATCAGGCCAGTCCACAAAGGACTGATGACTGCGGGCTTAGATAGAAGTCACTAATAACACAACTGGCAGCAGAACATCTTAGAACTTGTGATGGAGACCTTGATGCCAGACTCTCTGCAAAGATGATAAAATGTTTGAGATACCCAAAACACATCTCCAGACCTAGTCAATGAAACAGTACGGAAAGTATGGCCCACAAAATCAGGCATCTCCTTGGAGACAAGCTTTTCTAGATTTACAGGACATTGGTTTTAGGCTGTAAGATAGTAAAGGTCCTTCTTATTAGTAAATACCTTAAGACGCAAAGAAAGCAAAACAGGCTGAATTGCCCGTGCTCTAAAATTATTATGGGAATTCAGTTTATCATCTCATGCCATTTTGGTAGGTTTGGAGGTAAAAAAGTGGTGACGCAAACAGCACTAAATGGGTGAGAAGCATGCATAAAGAATAAAAACTAAAATACCAAAAAGACTCTTCGTTGTCTGATCAAGGTAGTCACTGCTTTGGATTACCATCACGCAATTTTTGACACCACCAAACCTCATTTTTATAATCCCATAATACAACTGGCATGAGACCTGCAAAAATCAAACCAAAGGACCACAGCAGACCAGAGAAAAAGCACAAAGAGGAAAGTCTACAGCTTGCCAGAGAGGGCAGGAAAAACCCCAGTACATACTTGATAATGGCTCTCACAAGCCAGGTCAGTCATGAGCATCAAAGGGCATCTTCATCGAAGAACCTCAGGACAAGCCCTCTGAGGTCTGAGGCACAGTAAAGCTGATGTTCAGGTTCAAGATGGTATCAGATCACGGCCTTCTAATGCCAAGAGGCTAAACGGTGATTCAGAAAGTAGATTGCTTAACTGCCTGTGCTTGCCCTCCAATCCACATGCCCAGAAGCAGTGCAGACCCTGGTCTTCACATCACAACATACCCCTGGGCAAGCCAAGGCCTGGAGCTGCTTCGTGTCATTTCAAGAATGAAAAGAAACAAACTGAATTCACAAACTTCTTAAAAATCCTTCTATGATGATTTTATTATAAATATGTTCTTTTGGAATAAACAAATATTGCATTCAAGACGATCTGCCAACTTGCTCTAAAGTAGTAAAAGGGAAAAGGGAACCAGGGACCATTCAGAAGTACAGATAAATAGCAAAGACACCTACATGCCATGCTAAGTCCCTTTTTCCCAAGAAGGAACAGGAGGTTAACAGGGAATATCACATTCTCATTAGCCTATTTGATGAAAATAAGCTTGAGTTTGGTAATCTGCACTTGTTGTATAAACTGAGCTGCTCCTCGCCTCAGTCCTCAGCAGCAGAATGGGAAGTCTTCAGATCTGAACATCAACAAGAATGGTCTTGATTGTGTCTGTAACTCTTTGTTCAAACACAAAGTATTCCTATTTGCTAGGAGTAATGTCCGAGTAATCCTTCAGCACTCCAGCCATG